CGCAATATTAATTTTTAAAGTGAATTTAACACAAAACAAATATTATTTTATAAATAAAGAATTATATATATATTATATATATACCGATGTTATAAATCACGACATTAAAAAAATATGTTAATTTATAATCAAAATAATTAAAAGCAATTATAATACTTTTTAGAACACAATACACTAACACATCCATTTTATTGTAATTTAAAACTCAAGATTTGTAAACGCAATTCTAACGTAATTTGCAACTAACGTAAAATCGCGATGTCTATGATGATTGGATCTTGACATTCAAATTGGTGAAATATAATATTTACTAGATATCATTAAAATAATAGCATAATGATGTAACAATTTTTTAGAACTAAAAATAATTTAAAAAATAAGAAACCATTTTTCAAATAAATCGTAAATTAATAAATAAATCGATAAATAATCTATAAATAAGTCAATAAATAAATTAATTAATAAAAAAAATATAGAAATGGAATAAATAATTAATAAATTAAAAATTAATAATACATAAATAAATTAATAATAATATATTATATTTTTAATTAAAATATATAATGCAAAATTAATTTTTTGTGCGATTTTGATTATAAAATTGACTTACGACGTTAACCAATCAGAAAGTCTCTACGTAAACTGTGGCGGGCAACGTTAGTCTTCTGTGGAAAATCATCATGACGGGCTACGTGATCGTGATTTTGGTGATTTGACTATGTTGTAAATAATTTTATTCGTATTTTGTTATCGAATTTACAAATTATTATCAGTCTCGTTTATTTAGTAATCTATTTATCACTGTAATGATAAAATTAATTAGTATTTTGAGTTTTTTGTCGGTCGTTATATTAGGTTATCGATAGTTTGTGTTTCATTAAATTGAAATTTGAATTTATTTATTCTTTCATCCTAATATAATTTTTTTATACATTTGTTTTATCCTTTTTTTATAGATTAATTTTAATTTTCATTTGAGCAAATAATTATTCGATTATCGGGATAGTTTCGAAATATAATTTGTAACATGTACATACCATAGCGACTTTTAGCTGATGATTTTGATATTTTATTTGTTTTAACAGAAATAGATTTATTTAAAATAAGTTTCTATAGTCTTTTCATACTAAAAAAAAGTGTATAAGATCAATTTTATTTTCTTAAATTAAATTATATTACTAATATATATAATTGCGTTTTACATATAAATACATTTATCTCTAATATTTATATATTTTTTTCTCTTTTTCGTCCAATGTTATACTCGAGACTGATGACATTTTTTCGTAATATAACTTTTCCAAGAAATTGTGAGTTCACGTTTGTGTCATATTCGATATGTTTCGATTTGTCGCTAAATTGACAAGCACTTCTTTCTATTCGTGATTCGAAAATCGAAATTGTGATGCGTCACATTGATAGACTATCGATATTTATGGTAAATAACAGTTTCATTTTTTACTGCATAGTATATACATATTTCTTTTCACAATTATATTCATAATTATTATCATTTATACATTATTAAATCAATATGCTATATAATTGACTATCTTTCGAGAGCTAAATTATTCGCTTTTTTTAAATCATTTATTATAATTATATTTATATATTATAATTATATATATATTTTTTTTATAATTAATTTTTTTATAATTAACTAATTATAATTAATTAATTAACTTATTCCAGTTAACTTATGACATTTTAAGATAGGATTTGTATTTGATTATAATAATTGTGTTTGATAATAATGTGATCAATTAATTTTATATATTTTATGCATTTATTTGAATATTTTTATTTGTAGATTAGCTAATTAGTCAATTTTGAAAGTAAGAAAAGTTTCAATATGGATCTTATATTTTTAAAAAGAAGTTTGATGTTTTGTATCGTATATATTTACTCTATTCAATCATTTTTATATGATATATTTTATCATTTCAATAATATTTATACTTTTATAATGAACATTTATCATATTTTTGTTTAAATAATAATTATATTTTATAAAATTTTACAAAATCTTTATTCATAAAAAATTGATAATTAGTCCATAGTTTCAAAAAAACGAACAAATTGTCTAATAATATCTGAAACAAATCAATTTGGTAAAAAAAAAAAAAAAACTATGGAAAGAATATTTTGCTTTTTTTCTATAAATTTCCTTCTCTCCCATAATACAGTTTTATTTTCACAGAATTTTTGTGATTGTGCAATATGGTCGATAGATTTAACATTTGTTTTGTGTTAGATTTTAATATTTTATTTTTTAATATTTTAGAGCATATGACTCTAATTAAATTTATTATCGCGAAATTAGAATCAGAGTTTGTTTGCTAAAATAGATAGATATATTAGTAATTATTTCGTTTTTTTTTTTTATATAATTATTTTCGGTACAGAGTAAAATCAATTTTTCAAAAGAATAAAATAGTTCCTTAGAGATGATTATTCTTATATATTTTCTATTATAAATATATTATTATTATTATTATTATTATTATTTATTTCAACTTTTTTAAATAATCAGTGTTTAAATTATGCTTTTTTATATTTTGTTACAGTTTCCATGTTTGATGACTCTTTGCAATGGCATAGATCACGATAGTAAAAATTCTTTATATCTATTAGATTGGTAAGTCGCATATATTTATGTTTCTTCAATTCAATTCAATGTTGTTGTTCAATTCAAAATGTTTCTTTATTATTCAATCATGGTTTAGAATGAAAAATCCAAATTTCAGGCTATAAAAATTCAGGAATTGTGTCATTTTGCCTATAATATTTCATATAATTTAATTTAATATTTTAAATCAAATTTAATATTTTAATAAATTAAAATAAATTAAATTTGATAGTTTAAATAAAATAAATTAAATTTGATAGTTTAATTGTTTAAAATATTCACGATTAATCTTATTAGAATTTTCAACGACAATTTATATGCGATATTACAATTTTTATTTTCAAATTACGACAATGTCTAATCAAATTTCGCATTATTTTAATAATTTAATTGGCTTAAAGGATATAATTTATTGATAATAATTATTTATAATTAAAATTAAATTAAAATATATATATATATATATGTTTTTATATTTGATGCAATGATTGCTAGTCATCATCAATCGATTTCAGGAAAATAGTACGTACAAATAGTAAATCAAGCAAATATCGAAGGAATTCTTTTTAGGGATGTTTTTATGTCAGGTATTACGTATGAAAATCATGAATGTGTTGGTGTATTTGTTTTGTCATTTTTGAATATAAAATTAGGTAGGATAACTAATGTGTAATTATAATAGGACAGATTGTCACAGTTTCTAATCGAATAGAAACTTATTTTCACGTGGCCATTTGTTTCAAAAAATAAAATTTGAAAAATTGGATGAAGCTGAAACAAATTGATTTTTCGAATTCTAATATTTAGATTCAGTTATCATGAGCGATTTTGCATCAGTGTTGCGAAATAATATATCTATGTAGGATTATATATTAAGATACAATTTTATTTTTATTTTCACATTTTAACTTGTCATCGATTTTTCTTAGAATTTCTTTTGCTGTTTATTTTGCACAATAATTAAACGATTATTTGAACGTTTTCAAATCTACATCAAAAGAAAGATTTATCATTAATTTTAAATAATTGTTTTTATAAAGGAATATTGATGAATAGAACCGTAGATAGCATGAATACCCAATTCAGCAACCTATATGTGATGATATCTGCAAAATCATTATTATTTATTATACAATTTATAATCATATCCGTAATACAATTATAAATTTTATAACAAATAATATAAGTTAATTGACTGCGCTCACGATTGCAACAATTAATTTTTTACGTATTAAAATTTATTAAATATTGATTTTTAAAAATTATGATATATCTAATACTTAGCAATAATCTATACAGCAAATGTAGACAAACAAAATAAATAGGAGAGCAGAAATAAGGTAAAAGTATTGATATTAACGCCATCTATAAAATGGCACAAATGAAACATATAATAAGAATCAATCAATATATATTCATATACTATGTAATAAAGAATATTACTTGATATAAAAATATTATTTTTTGTGTGCATTTTCATGTATTGCTGAGGAAATGGAATTATGTATGTTGCATATTTAATATATAAATTATAGAATAGAATTATTATAATTTTTTTTGACATCATAATCTTTGTAATTTTTTAAATAATTTGTTATTTATCTCTTTTTTATATCTATTCCGTTACAAAATTCTTCCGTTATAAAATATTATATCTATTTTATTTTTTTTCTGTGATTCATAGAATGATTCTTTTTCCAACTATGTTACATGCTAGCTACTATATCGATAATAGTACAAGTAGCTAACTATAATAAACTTGCAATGATTATTTTAATATGAAATATTTTATATTATATTTTTCATATTATCAGTAATATAATATATCAATATTATGCTAATTTAATATAATAGTCTATAATAATATAATTATATAATTTGTTAAATTTATTGATTTTATAAAAAATTTGTACTATTAACTATATAAATATCTAGTCTATGCCTTTATCTCTGTGATACCATCAGTTGATATTAATGATATCTTAATTTAAAATAAAAAATAAATAATAACTTCTCAATAATTAAAAAATATAAGGAATAAAGACAAATAATTACTAATATATATTATTTTTAACAAAAGAGTTTTATTTTTCATGGAAACGAAAAAATGAGTTTTATGTATACTTAATCTTTGAACAAGTATAATTAGACTATAATTATGTAGTTTTTATATTATAATCATGATATATAATATGTAATAATAAAAATTACATAAATATACAAAGGCACATGTACCTGTAATTTTTGATTATATCACAAATGTTTATCTTGATTTTTATTGCTTGAATCAGAGATTTTAAATCATGTATGACTAAATGATCATACTATTTTATATACAAAAGTAGAGATATGATTTTCTTGATATTAAAGCAATTTTTATAATCACACAGATGTGAATTCTGTTTGACGTTGTGAAGGATTATAATATAAACCAGCCATAGATTCTTGTAAAGCTCTTAAACATGCAACATGTGCTTTAAATCCACCTGCTCTTTCTGATGAAGACTCAGCACGTACATGAGAAACATATCCACGAGCTTGTAATTCTCTCCAACTAGGTGGTGCTGGACCATCCGTTACTTGTTTGATAGGTGTATAAGTGTATAGAGGTCCTTCTTCGATCTTTGGTATAGGCAAATAATTCTGACCTCCTTGATTGCTAAATTTAATTCCTGTACTAAATTGTGTTGCTTTAGCAGGTGCTGCTTTTGTTTCCTTCCTAGATGCTTGTATAACAGAGGCAAATGTTTCTACAATATTTTTTGCATTTCCTTCTGAAAATGTAAGCTCATCTATCAATGCTTCTTTCTCACGGATCTTTTTTCTTTTAGCTTCTATTTCTTCTTTAGCTATTTCTAATCTTCTCTCTTCTTCTTTCTGTTTCTCCAATTCTATCATTTCTTCCAATTCATATTCACTTCTACCAAGCTTAGATTTACTTTTTGTTATTTGATCTTTATTGTCTTTTTTGTACTGTTCTATTTTCTTATTTGTTTCTATTACATCAATATTGTTAGCCAAGTTATATATTAGTGTTTCAATTTCTTCTAAATAATCATTGTATTCTCTTAGTGTTGCAAAGTCTTCTTCTTTTTTGTTGAAATCTCTAAGAATTCTTTTTCTTATATTTACTTCCTTTTCTACCATAGGATCTTCAAATAATTGTACACGAAAATTTGCTCTTCTCAGAGGAATTTTACATTCAGGACATGATCCAGAGCCTAAGAAATTATGAAATAAAGATTTAATGAAGGACTTAAGAATTAACGAATTTTTTTTAGCAAGCAACATAAAGAAACTAACCTTTCAAAAATAACAAATTGACACAACTTTCACATAATGTGTGACCACAAACATTTACCATCATTTTCAATGATGGATTCCGATATTTAGTAGTTTTGCATCTTGGGCATGCTTGATCATCCATTTTTGCGAGGTATTAGAAACAAATATGTATTTAAACTTATAGGAACCACCGTTTACTTTCACAGAACAATTAACTGGTGAAAGAATCGAAAATTTTACATTACGATGTATGACATGACTTTAATATAAATTCAAATTAATTGAATCATTCCATATAGTTAAACAATGAAAATATAGTAACATTTTTACATTTCGAAAACATAGTAAACTATTCGTAACATCATTGTTCCGAAACATAACCTATAACTAAAATTTCACATATTGTCATGTAGCTTGAAGTTTGAAACTCGAACAGTAATCGATATTATAATATCGAATATGAAATATGTATTATTGAATTCGATAGTGTTAAAAATATTCATTATATATAAATATCTTATTAATTTATAATACTCTTATAAATTAATCACTTATAATTTTTCCAATTAATTATAAAATAATATTACAATTTAACAAAGAATTTATAATATAATTTTATTATAATTATAAGTAATATTTCATTTCATTTTATAAGGAATGTTAAATTGAATAATTTTAATTTTATTTCTAAAGAATTTATTATATATTTTCATTTATCTTAAACGTTTAAAATACAAATAAATTAGAAAATAAACTTATTATAGAAATGTATATTGTATATTTTATCTTTGAATGAAAATATGCTTTTTCTATAGTTTTCGATTATGCATGTTTACGTGATTATCGAATCAAAAAAAAAAGAAAAAAGAAATCTCTGAGAAAAAAACTCAAGTCAAATCTCTTGATACCAAGCCGTACGTCTTTTGTGCGTTTCACTTCTAACGATTTAGGGCATCGATTTCTTTTTCAATTCCATCGTGTAAATTGTACATTAAAAAGCAGCAAGAAAGAGATGCGATGCATGTCCATTATACTCGAAAGAACAAAAGGGGTGGTATGCTTTGCTGCCTCGCAAAGTTCTCCTTATTTCTTCCTCCAATGGTTGATACTATGAACGCTCATTATTCAATCCTTTTCGTAAAACCATCTTGACGTTCAGTGAAAAATGTGCAATGACATTTCTTAAGTAAACAAAGATATTACATTCGTAACGCTAACGTGAAACACCCGAGATTAATCAGAATCATATTTCAAAGAAGATTTCCTAAAATAAACATATTATTCCATTGTTTTTAGAAAAACTCGAATAACGGCAAATTTTATAAAAATTTACGCATAATGTATTTTAAATTCAAAAGTAATGATTCAAATTTAAATCTAAAACATTAAATGTAATGCTAAAAATTTATTTCTTAAAATTATTCTAATAAACTGTTGTTCGGAAGAATTATATAAATGACAAATACTTAAATTAAAAATTTTTATACAAAGGCCTTATAGCAATATATAACATGCGATAATCCGGTCCGAATAATAATCCCAACGATCGAAAATCGGTTCAGGAAACATCCTCGTTTTGTTTACTATCTTTTATACGGGCCACGATCGAAACGATAAGCTCGATCTAGTCCGTTTACGTGGAAAACGATGCGAAAGAGTAACTCCGGTCTCATTTTTTTTTCTCTCTCTTTCTCTCTCTCTCTCTTTTATTCTCTCTCACTCCGCGCTTCGCTGCATGAAATTTGTTAAAGTGTGTTGGTGTGACACGTGTACGACAATGACGACGACGAGGACGACGATCGAGCCGACATGGAATTCGATTCTTGACTAGAGGATGCTGCACGCTCGCTTCATACAGTTGTGTGCGTGCTCGTAATAGAACTAAAGTGATACGCTTGCGCCGGACGATGTCTACCCCATCTTCTCGTTGACTTCGGGTGAGGGAAAGCGGGGCGTGTGCAAGGACAGATGGCAGGGCGTCTCTCCCGGGCCGTGTCGCATGCACTGTCAGTTTTGCTCGGATTCTCGTACACGAGTTTTATCGCGCTCTTTTGCACTCGTCACGATTCTCATTGAACGCAGGAAAATTCGCAAAGATCGCGCATACGCTCCACACCTTTTTTTTTCCACTCGCGTGTATATAACACGATCCTTGAATCACGCGAATTAAATTTATCCGTTTCGTTCTGTCGGTTAAATAGTTCGGACAGAGCACGAGATTACCTTTCGATGTCGTTCGTCAACCGTCGCTGTGACAGAAGGATGATAATTGTTGAAAATTGTTTAATTGTATAGTAAAATATATTTTAAAAGAAATAAGATATTCTATTTGGTGAAATGAATATTTTTATACGTTGGTGGGTTTTAAAGAATACGAAGAAATAAATACAACAAAGAAAGGAATTGTCGGTTGTTCATCTATACCATTGGTCAATTAAGCAGTTCACGGATAAAGATATGCTCTAGCGGGAAGACAGAGAGAGGCAGTAGTGTCGCGGTGGAGGAAGAGAAAAGGACAATTATGGGAAAGAAGTATCGGGGACAATTTCTATGCATGTCAATGCGTAGATCCCGAATAGCAGAGACATAATGGCGACAACGAGTGAAAAAACAATGGAAAATCAGATGCTTATCGATTCATTCGATATTTTTCTTTTGCGATTTTGATTTCTTCGCGCTTTTGTCCGCGAGATGCTGTATCGAACGTTTAATTCCGGATTATTACGCCATACTAAGGAAAAATTAACGCGCCGCGAATGGAAAATAATTGATAAATGAAAGTCGGGAAGAGCAATCGTGGAGAACACGAAAAATCCTTTGTCTTTCATATCCCTCCCCTTTTCCTATCTCCTCATCCCATCAGTTAAAACTAGAAACTGTTGTGGCTTTTTTCAAAAAACGCGACGATTATATCGAGCGACATCGTGGATCGACTATGAGAGAGAGAAATAAAAAATGAAGGGTTTATTTTTTACCCTGAGTCTATTGTTTTCGGGTAAGTGGAAATTCATTAGTCACGTGTTTAATGATTCAGGGCGGATTGTTTTTTGAATTGTTCGTGTAATCCTCGGATTCAAACAATGTAACTTTTAAAACGGTTTAATGGAATTTTTCCCTTGAAAAAAAATTTCCTTTTGAAAATTATTTAAAAGGAATAACAAAAAAGAAATTTTTCATGCATATATATATATATATATATATATATATATATATATGTATATACTGTCAATCCGAGATATAAAATAGACGTACGAAGTATATCATTTCGCGAATATGATTATGAATCCCGGTATATAACCAAGACAGGAAAACGATAATAATATTGTGAACATTTGTTATAATAACGCGGATACTGTGGCGCGATATATTTTTCTATGGGGATACATATAAAGAAAGAAAAGTGACGGTTATCGACGATAGTTCACTGCCACGTATTATGAGATAAACTAGTTTTTGAAACTGTTACGTTCAAAGTTTAGCACCTACTTTAATACTTTATGACGAAGTATAGCAAGGTCTATGTTCGAGCATCTAGCAGAATATACATATATATATACCTAATATATACATATATGTCGTCTTTTACCACTTGCCACTTCAGAACACATTAAAATGATTTCTTGCCACTTCCGGTTGTAAATAGTGCACGCCCCTTCTGGCGCGCACAAGAGTTTCACGGTAAACATGAGGAGTTAACAAAATTCCGATAACGAACGACGAAACGTGGTGAGCATTTTTTCTTTTCTTCATCCGCCTCGTGGTTTCCGCCGTTAAAGCGGCTCGCTGTGCGGCGAAATACGGGAAATAATCTTTCGGGTCAAAGAACAATCCACCGCAATCTGGAGATTGAAACGAGCTCACTGAAAGCTGCTTTCTGTGTTGTATATGTACATGTGTTCGTGCGTTTTGTTTTTTTTTGTTCTGTGTGTATTTTTTCTTAAAGTGCAAGGACTCGCCCGGGCTACATCTGATCACGAAATGCACGAGAATCTGAATCCACCAGATCCATTCGACCGTGGACCTTACTTCGACGTCTCGGCATCAAAGAACGTCACCGCATTGGTTGGCAAAACGGCCACTCTAAACTGTCGAGTACGGAATCTGGGTGATCGTACGGTAGGTAACGAATCAGTGCGAGGATGCTAGTCACGTGACTCGTGTTGGCGGACGATAATTTTATTGGCTGTCAATATTCAATAATTGACTGTAATTTTTCTCGTAATTACTTTCGCTCGGGAATGTTAATGAGATAGACACAACAAAACAAACACGCGAGTACGACGCAATCAGCGTCGTTTAATAAAAACACAAGAAAATTAATGCAATAGAACGGAAATAAATAAATCAGAATAAATTCTACTTAATGGAACGGAGATTACAATTTAAGTTCGTCCATTAAAACATTATTCGCGTAATGTTTCGAAGTTGGAAATTGCAATATCGATGGAAAATTTCTTATTTTTTCTTATCCTTTGTTTTACCTCTACGATTTTACTATTTACTGGAGGAATTTAAGTAAAACAGAAAGTTTTGCTTTTTTACAATACGCACAGTCGAGCAGTTTTTATTTCGCGCGTTACAACTTTCCTCTTTCCCCTGTAACCCTGCCTCTCGTTTCTTGTTTTCCCTTTAGCGTTTTTTTCGAGAAGCATCGATAACTCTGCACACAGTACTTTGTTTTTAGAAGGAGCGCCTTTTTTTTTTTTAATTTTCTATTTTTTATTTTTCCCTTTGGTGTCCGAACTTTTTCCTTGAAAAAAGAAAAAATCACTATATTAAAGAATCACCGTAACACTAAATATACAAATATATAGAAAGATCACATCATATGTCGCATGGTAAATGCATGTATCACAGTTCCATCAAATTTCTTATGAACACCAGGGCATAATTTATTGTGTGCTCTTTTTTAAATTCTGTCATTGCATGGAGGTACTTAAATATTCAACGTTATAATTCCTATTCAACCTATCTTCTTTAATCAGCTTTAATTGCAAGTAATGCTTTAAGCTCTGCGTGAATTTTAAATGGCTCCTCATTGGTGCAGAACGTTAGCAGCCTTGAGTAAATGTGATTTATAAAAGCCATATTGGCTCTTCATCCGTATGTATATGTGTGATATAAGCCTGGTTATCCATCGTGTCTTTCTCATTAATATCCCTTTGTACGACGACGACGTGCACTACCGATTATCGGCACGTCCTAAATACTAATTTGTAGCACACTTAAAAGAACACGCGAGCGCAGAAGCGTTAAAGAAAGGCAGTTTAACGAGGCAGAATAACACAAATCGCATTAAACTATCAGCATGTAATGATGGCCGTCGAAGGTTTGATGAGCACGATGGTTTTGCCGGACTCGATGACTACAGAGTGTTCAACGAATGATGTATATTCAACGGTTCTCGTACACGTGGCATATATACAGGGTGATTCGCGAAGTGAAGTGTTACGAATTGTATTATTTTTGGAAATTATATTCATTTTTTTTTTTTTTTTTATATTTCAATGGAATAAGAAAGTTGGTTATTTGAAATTCAAAAGATTTTTCTGTGACTACAAAGAGGAATAAGAAAATCGCCCTCGTGTTTTTTAAATGAAATGGCATATTAAAACTGTAATAATATTTGCTTGAAGCATTTTTCGTTATTCTGCATAATTAAAAATTGTGATAAAAGGAAAATTTAAAAGGAGTTAAAAAATCTAAAGAAAACGTAATTAAAGTAGACTTATTTTGAAATTTATTTTATTAGGTAAAATAGTACATTCTACATCACGATAATTTCTGATATTATTCTCTATCAATTAATATTTCTTAAGTTACAAACATTTCGTATTTTTAAATTCTTTCATTGTCAATGAATATGTTAACAAATGAACATTTACTTTGAACACATAATAAAATAAATTTCATCTCAAAATAAATTTATTTTAATTAATCTGACGTCTTAATTTCTTTAGATTTTAATTTCATTGTAACTGGTTAATTACACAGAATAATACTTCAAGCAAATATTTTTGTAATAATTCTTAATAATCTTAATAAATAGGAATTAACATTCATTTCATTTAAAAAAAAAAAAAATGAATACAGGCTTTCTGTTCTCCTTTGTTGTTATTACAGAGAAATGTTTCGTATCTCAAATAATTAATCTTTTCGTATCATTGAAAAAAAAAATGACTCGATGATTTCCTTGGAAAATGATTTGCAAGGTTTCATGCGGATTATTATATATGCGTACAATCGCAACCAACATATGTGCATCGCATAAATGTGACACACACAGGCAAAAAGTTTGTCACTCAGCGGATAACGTTAATAATTATTTAGTCGACAACAATCGGTGTGTCCGACCGATGCAAATTGATGTTTGCGAACATATCAGAACGCGTTACAGGAGCATTAATTACAATTATCTATGCTGCCGTTGTCCTGGCAACATCACATTTCTTGCGGTGTCTGTGTAATATGTACAAATGATATACAATGCGTATCATTGACGTAGAATCCGCAGTTTTTACGTGTCGAGTGAAATTATCAACAGAAATCAGAAGATACGTTTTACGATTTTTTAAACATATAACGAGAAAAACACGGTACAACAAATCCCTATTGTCTACTTTTTCTTCCTTCTCCCTCTTTGTTGTTCTAATTAATATGGAATTGTTGTATTAGCTGATGTTTAAATAAAAATGTCGATGCATGGAAGAGTCGAGAAATAATTGGTATACATTTATATAAGCTATATTATATATACATGTCGACAGCCAAAGAGATTATTATTTAAATATATATATATATATAT